CGCTGCGCTCTGCTGGCTTCCAGTGGGGGACCTGTGCCCTCTGGTGGCCGCCAGGGGTAGCGCAGGCTGCGTGCCGTTCACTGCCTCTTTCTGGTACCGTCTGCTTCCCACTGTGGGGTTGCCTTCCATCCACAGAACCGCTGCCTCCCGCCCAGGTGCTGGTCTCTGCAGAGACAAGGCCTCCAGGGAGGAGCTGAGTCCGTGTCCCAATGACCTGCTGTGGAGCTCTCCTGTTTTCCTGCGGCCAGACCTCCCCGGGGCCAAGCAGGTCCCTGATTGGGGTGGCAATTAACTTCGGCAACAGCTGGCTTTCAAAAGGCCTCTCGTCCTTGCTTGGCCTCCAACCTCGCCCACCGCACTCCCCACAGCCTCGGAGCCAGCCTCCCTGCCTCCTGTGACCCTGTTTTCTCTTCTTCCAGGGCCACCAGGCTGGTTGTCAAAAAGCCCTCCCCTGGTGGGAACCCGTGTTTGCCTGGACATGCAGGTCCACACACATGTGTGCCGCAGAGCAGAGACCCGGCCCTGGGTGTCCACAGGAAACAACAAGTGACAGGACACCCCATCACCCACCATCCTGGGGGGATGTCAGCACCAGCTCAGTCACAGGTCCGATGGGAAAAGTGGGGTAGTGAGGCTTTACAAAGCGAACAGCCATCATCACCGCACCTGCAAGCCACCTTCCCCACACCTGCAAGCCACCTTCCCCACACCTGCAAGCCACCTTCACTGCACCTGCAAGCCACCTTCCCCACACCTGCAAGCCTTCTTCACACCTGCAAGCCTTCCCCACACCTGCAAGCCACCTTCACTGCACCTGCAAGCCACCTTCACTGAACCTGCAAGCCACCTTCCCCACACCTGCAAGCCTTCTTCACACCTGCAAGCCACCTTCACTGCACCTGCAAGCCACCTTCCCCACACCTGCAAGCCACCTTCACACCTGCAAGCCTTCTTCACACCTGCAAGCCACCTTCACTGCACCTGCAAGGCTTTGGGGCAGGCAGGCAACTTGAGGGAACAGAAAAGTGATCACCACCAAGGAGACTGCTGACAACTTGGCTTGTGCTAAAATTTGAATTTTATCCATTTAAATTGCTGTTCATCCAAAATAAAATAAAATAAATTTCTGTTCATCCAAAGGCACCGTGAAGAGACTGAAAAAGTGAGACAGAGAGGTAATCACAGTGCAAACATTCAGTAAGATGCACATCCAAAGTGTGTGAAAGCTCCCACCAATGCATAAGGAAAAGGCCTAGAAAAGTGGCAAAACCCCTGAGGAGACCATGTGAATGGCCAGTAGCTTTGCTGTTATGGCGGTGTGAGCCCGGAGGACGGCAGGCGCGGGGCACACGGTCCCAGACTGTGTAGCCCTGGTGAGCGCAGGACCAGCCGGGAGGACCGCTGGGCAGGCCCGCCTCGCCCTCTGACCCACACACTTTACAAAACCACGGACACACGTTTGCCAACAGGATGTTCCTGACTGGTCACCACAGCCCCCAGTCCCCGGCTCCAGCGGGACAGTGACCGTGGGAGAGGGAAGGACGTGACCGTGAGATAACAGAATTTGTCCAGATCGGTCTCTGCCCCGGTTCCTGGCACCGAGCTCCCGGTGTCATGTCCTGGATGGCAGGGGCACCGGCAGTCTCTCGTCCGTGAGCAGCTCTGCTGGGCTCCTGGTGAGGCCTGGTCCCCAGAGAAACCCAGCCCTGCATTCCCGTGAGCGGGGACAGGGCTGACCCCACAGTGAATGACCGTCTGCGCAGAACCCTGCCGGTTGGGCTCAGGGTGAGTGGGAAGGGCAGCCGCGGGTTGGCGGCGCCCAGGACGCGGAAGCCCCGCCCCTTCCACGTGCCACGCCCAGCGCCTCGCTTCCACCCTGTGATCACCTGCGTCCGTTGTCACCTCTTTATAATCAGCTGGCAAATGCGGTGTTTCCCTGAGTTCTGTGAGCCACTCCCGCTAATCCCGGGGCAGCAGCCATGGGAACCTCCGGTTTGTGCCAAGTCAGACCGATGTCCGGGGGCCTGGCGTCCACGGGGGCAGCCTTGCGGGACGGAGCCCTTAACCTGGGATCTGAGGCTCCACGCAGGCTGACAGCGTCAGGATGGGCTGGAGTCGGAGCGCGGCATCGTGGGGTGTGACATCCCCACGCCTGGACCCGGCACAGAGCTTTGCATGACTCGGAAGGAGCCCCGAGGAGGCAGGAGTGCAGATGTGGAGAGGCGCGGAGGGTGACCCTCCCCGGCCAGGCTCACCGCCCAGGAGCACCAGCCTTCCCGCGGGGCGTCCGGCGGTGGCCACGCCGTGCGCGCACTCGCCGTCTGTTCCCTTGAGCGCTTCCTGAACACCTGTCACGCGGAATCGTTTGCCGACACTCAATGCCCGTCCTGGCACATCCTGGCGATGCCTCCACTGTCGCCCTCGCAGCTCGGCCCGGGTCCTGTCCCTCAGCCTCTCACAGGATTTTGGTCCCAGGGTCTCGCTTCCGCCCATGACGCGGGGCTGCCGGGAATGGTCTTACTTCCCTGTGTGCCGCTGTGCTGTCCACCCCACTGCTCCCTCCTGTGTTCCCAGTTGGGGGGCGATGACCTGGCCAGGGAAAGGCAACACAGCCCCAAGCCCAGGATGGCCGGGAGCCCCGCCAGCAGCAGGGGCTTCAGGACCCAACTCTGCCGCTTGCTGGCCGTGTGGCTCACCCTCTCTGTGCCGCACCCAACTCCGCTGTGAAAGCGGGTCCTCCTGGCACCCCCGGCCCGACCAGGAAGGTGTCCCTCAGGGTGGACAGTGTTTGGCAAAGTGCTCAGGGGCTGCTGCTCGCCACCGTCTCAGAGGCATGTCACCCCGCCCCCTCCTGAGGACTGGGTCACCTGGGGTGGTGGCATCTGACCCTCTTTCCTGGAACCCCTGTCTGGGGTCCCATCCCCAGGAGCCTACGTGGGGAGATGCTGGCGGGAGTGACCCCCTTTTCCTTCCTGACCTCTCCCAACGCTCTCCAGGGGCCCAGGGGTCATGCCCATTTGGGGTGCCCTCCACTGGAAGCCTTCAAGAACTCCACGCGTCCCCCACACTCCCAACAGGATGGGCAGTGCTGCCCGGAAGGGGTCTGCGTGGATCACCTCCAAATGACCTGGAGGAACATTCTAGAATCCATCATTTCGTACCGTGTCACTCTAATCCCTCCATTTCCCACAGGCATCAGGGCAAAGCCCTAAGACCCAGAGATCCTGGACTGGCCTTGGGGGGGCAGGGGGCAGAGGGTGGTGGGATGGGGGGAGGAGCAAGGTCTCTCAGTAGTGGGGTCCCTTTAAAAGGAAGGAGCAGCCCTCAGCCAGGCAAAGGGAAGCCACGTGCTGGTTGCTGGTCAGCATTCTCTGGCCAGCGTCCGACCCAACCAGGAAGGTGTCCCTCACGTAGCTGGAGGCCCCTCAAATGCCATCTATTTGTGGCCTGGACCCTGCTGGCTGGCAGGAGACATGTGACCTGGGACGGTATTTTTGGCCGTGGGGGTGGGGCTGCATGGCGAGCCAGCACCGGGCCCTGGACAGGCAGCTTGGACGCCCAGTGCTGCTGCTTGGCTGCTGCAGGGTTCCAGGTACGACACCAGCAGCCCCTCATTCCCGCCCGGAGGGGTCCCCGAGGTAGACAGCCCCCAGGGACCTTCCCCAGAGCTAGAGAGGAGGGCGAAGTTCAGCGTCAGGAAGCCGCCTCGGTGCCTGGGGTCCAGGCATCTCCATCTCAGAGACAGAAGGGCAGCCCCACAGGGGTTGAGGGTCACCTTGGGTCACTGAGACGGGGCCGGGGAAGGGGCACGTCTGGGTCGGGGACACAGACCCTGAGGATGCCCGAGGGAGGCAGGAGGCTCCTTTCTGTTCTGGGGCCTCCTCCCCAGGCTCTTCCCGGGGACCCACGTACACTCTGGCCGGCACCGGCGTGACCAGCGGGCGCTCAGAGGAAGCCCAGCGGCCTGTCCCAGCAAGGCTAGAGGAAGGTCATCACCCAAGGCTGGTCACCTGCTGGATGCTGTGGCCCCGCCCCCATGGCCAAATGCCCCCTGGGGCATGCTGGGACAGGCCAGGGCTCCCCACAGCCAGGTCGGCCTGTCCGGAGGAAAGTTGGAGGGTAAGGCCGACCCAGCTGAGCAGGAGATGCTTGGAGACGTGAAGGAAAGCCACTTCTGGGGTTGAAAATCCACGCACGAGGATCCTGCTTCTTCGGGCCCCTCACCGATCCAGAGCGCGTTTGGTGGAAGGAACGTGACCCCATGTCGTAGAGTTGCCTCGGGGGGTCGATTGAAAAGCAGGGACAGTGGGGCTGCAGCGTTTCAGCCCTGGAGGAAGCAGCCAGCTGCTGCCTGCATCCTGCTTCGTGGCCTTCAGGACGAAGATGCCGGCCCAGTGCTGAGCCAGGGTGGAGGGGTGCTGGCGGGCGGGCAGGGGGTGAAGACCCCGGCTCTGCTGCTCACGCGCCCTGCTGACCGAAATGGAGAACTTCCAGTACAGTGTCCAGCTGAGTGACCAGGACTGGGCTGAGTTCTCAGCCGCTACCGAGGAGTGTGGTCTCCTGCAGGCCAGCCTGGCCTCTGGGGACGAGCTGCTGTCCAGTGACATTGACCAAGGGGACAGCAGCGGCAGCAGTCCCCCCGGGCCCCGGCCCCTGCTTGGGGGGAGTGGCTGGCCTGGCTTTGAGGAGGAGGACCAGGCGGCCACGAAGCAGCTGGTCAGCAGGTCTTGGCAGGAGCCCGCCCTGGCCCTGGGGGCTGGTCAGCAGACGCCCAGCACGTCAGCACAGTCAGAAGCCCGGCCAT